CGCTTTTGCTTTGCTTAGGAATGTAGCTTCAAACAGTCCCACGTGGATCTGGGCTGTAGTTGTGCTCAGGTAGGAGGCTGCTGGCAGAACCCCGCACGCCGCCCGTCCCCAGCAGCCCGCAGCTCCCACCAGGGCTCCCCGTTCCTCACTGCCTCCGTGCTCGTGGAACGCTCAAGTTTTGAACCCAGGAGAACCTCTCCCCTTCCCTAACTCTGTGTTGCTCAGCATAAACCCCTGTGTTCAGTTTGCAGACAACGCGTTCGCCGGCGTCACCGTTCTGAAGACCGCACACCTCGAGAACAACCGGCTGACCCAGCTGCCCCGCAACTTCCCCTTTGACAAGATGGAGACCCTGACGCTCTCCAGGAACGCCTGGCACTGCAACTGCCAGCTGGCACATCTGCGCAAGTACGGGGCCACGCACGCCTTCCGTCCCCTCATCGCTTGGGGTCTCCTCGGGGTCCCCCAGCCTACATGGGGCGGAGGAGATGGCAGAAGGCGATGCTCAGCCCGCCGGGTCCGCGCGCGGCCGCAGCTGAGCCTCCTGTAAGCTCCTGTGTTCTCCCCCCAGGTGGCTGAAGGCCAATCGCACCCGCACGGAGGACACGTGCTCCACGCCGGCGCAGTACCGGGGGCAGTCCATCAGGGACACCCCCGCCCTCCGCACCTGCAAGCTGCCCACCAAGAGGTCCAGGAAGGGAAGCCGCCATTAAGCACGTAAGCGGGGTCGCAGAACCAGTTCCTAGCAGTAGATTGTAGTCACTTCTTGCACAGACCTACAACAGACCCCAGTGCCACTCATGCTGCAGGGACCGCTGTCTCAGATGTCATTAACACGGAGATGTAGCTGATATCCCACTCAGAGCTGCTGACTCTCCCTGGCCGTGCTGGACTCCACAGAGCAGAGCCTGGAGCAGTAGGGATGGAGTCAACCCCCTTAAACAAACACAGACTAAGGACAGGCCTGGGGCAGCAAGGAGGGGTGAAACGTGTACTTCAGTGTCAAATCAAGGGTGGCTTTCGCCCACTGCCAGCCTGGGGTAGAATAACACAGCTTTACTTTTCTAAACGACTGGAGATGCTCCTCCTTTCGTCCCAGTGAAGGCTCTCCCAGGTCTGGTTTGAAAAGCAGGGCAAGACACAGCTGAGGAATCTGGCCCCAGGCCGCCCAGCCCATACCTTCCACATGAAAATAGATGTCTTCCATAAGTTCCCAGACCAGCACCTGCCTTTCAATAACTACCGTTCCCATCCGAGACACTCAGGTATTTAGAAAAACAAGGGCTGGTGCCTTCAAATGAATGTCCCAGAACAGGAAGGATCTTTGCAAAAATATCCTTTGCATAAGGCGCTCTGGGCCAGAGGGTGACTCAGGAGACAGGGCTGGCTCTCCTCTGAGCAGTGGCTTACTGACATCTACCAATCCAAACACCAGCTGTGAAACAGAATCACACAAACACCTCCAACAGCTGGGAACTGCTAAGTGTACTAAATTCAGAGCAAAGAGTAGCGAGAAAGCCACAGCTGTCGTCAGCTCAGCCCAAGCGTTTTGCTTTTCCTCATCCCAGGACTAGATCTGGAGCTTGTACGGATTCCAAAAGACTTTGGATTAACCTGAAAATGTGTAAGCTTTTGGGAAAGGGACCTTTGTTTATTTGCTAGGTAAAGTACAGTGACCCTGCGATGCACCGCGTGAGCAAGAGCCATCGCTGTGCCCTGTGCTAAGGGAAGGGACTCAAAGTCCAAAGCCCACTTACGGCCATTTGGCCCCTGTTCCCTAAGGAGATGCATAACAGGATGGAGAAGATAAATTTATGCCTGAAGTGTCAGGGATTATGCCAGCAGCTCTGAGCCTTCCTAAAGTGATAATTTATCTTGCAGTGCCAGAGACGTTATGGATTAGAGATGGAAATACCAGTCATTCCATACAGGGTGGATAAAGTTCTGACCAGAGACGGAAAAACTTTGGTTTCTAAACCACAATACTTAAATACTTCACCCTCTTCTCTCCCTGCCTGAACTCAATTTCAGCTCACTCCTCTAGGAAAAGAGTAAGAAAACCATGACAATAATAGCTGGTTTTCCTTTTGCACCTTTGGCCCAACTCACTCTCAAAAATTTATAAACGTTAATGAAATAAAAACCAATTTACCCCAGTCTTGCAGAAGACAAAGCTCAGTATCTTCCGGTGTAAGAGCCACAATGCAAGCACACAAATCCATTCCAGTGAGGTGACACAATTTTAAGGGGTACAAAGCTCCCCTGAGTTCCCTGTGCAGCTCTCGAGAGATGGGCAGCTGCCCCAGATAGCAGCTCTCAGGGTTTCAGAGACACGGTGGCTCTCACGTCCAGGAGCCACGTGTCAGATGAAAGGCTGTCCGGCAGTTCCTAAAAGTCTGCCTGCTCTGGAGCTTCACTGCTCTTCAACCCTCCAGCTGCTCTTCTCTCCCTGCCACGGGTTTCTTCCTTTACAAAGGAAGCGCTCACCGGCCACGAACACTTCAGGTAAGGTGCCCCGGAGCCACACAGCAAGTTGGCATCAGAGGCTGCAGATGGGACTGATGCATCTCCTCTATCGTGGGAACTGGTGATGGCCTCTTGAATTCCAGTTCTTCTGTTTCAATTTCAGGCTTCACTCACACACAGTGTAAAAAGAAAAAACAAATGCACAAAAGCTCCAAGTTTAAAGACGTGCTTAAAAATGCCCCTAAACGTGGGTTTTTCCTTTCTTCTTCCCCAGCAGGACCCGGTATGGCCTGTCCTGGTGACTGGTCACTCCAACCATCAGAAAACTACTGACTTCCGAGTCCTTCCTTAAGCTTCTCCTATCTGTCAGGAAACATAGCTGATATATCTGAACACCTCCAGCCTCCTCCGAATCCCCGCTTCTCTGCTGATTGCAGGATGGAATCCACCTTTTCAATCTTTTCCAACATCTATATATTTTAAAAGAGGCATTTAAGAAAATAAACGATGCATGACCATACTAAGAGCTAACCAGATCCTGCCGGTAAAGCACAGTCATCTTTCCCAGAGGCAACGCAACCCACGTCCCAGATCAACCAGTTTGTCTCTGTCTCTCCCCTTCCAATAGAGTGGAAGCAAGTAGGAAGGCAGAAGCGTTCTTCCCCAGCTGCTTGATCAGGGAAGTTGGTCTCAACCCGTGCGGTCCTCTTTCTTCCCCCGGAGGGGATCCCTGCAGGCCAGGGCCGAGGATGGCAGGTGAAGCAGCGCCCAGGAACCGGTGGCCCTAAGCCAGAGCTGCCCTTAGCTCCAAAAGGCAGCGACTTCCCTAAGGCAGACAGAAATCTTGAAGTGAAGCAGTACTGGGAAAGCCCGGAACTGAAGCAAGCTGAAGACTGGATTCCCTCCCACCCTGTGGGGTCTACCGAGACGTATGCGTGTCCGAGAGGAGGAGGTGTGCAGCACGCTGCCTTGCTGGAGCACCCCTCCTCGCCCTGCCCGTACTCCGAGGATCCAGCAGGACACCAGGATGACTGTGGTTTATTGTCATGGCTGTTACAATACCACAGTTGCAACTTAACTGTGTTTTTTAATCCTAAAGAGTTATATAAATGTATGTATATTTATTCCTCTGTAACTGAGTGTAAATGACCTTCAAGAGGATGAAAGCTCCTCTGTCTCCTATATAGAAATCAAATTGTATATTTTCTTATGTACATCTTCTGTATAAAGCTCTTGCTGCAAAGATGAATTCAGCAAGTCTCCCGTGTCTGTCTGAGGGCTGGGGATCAGAGGTAACACGAGATTGGTGGTACAAACATAGACTTAATCCCCTTTATCCTATGGGCAGGATGACTGCTTGTGAGGGGAGGGGCTTATCATCCCTTTTTCTACAAAGCAGGAACACATCTAACGAGTCCCAGGCAGCTGTAATCATGTCTGGAAATACCCCGTGAAGTCAAACTCAGGCCTACTATAAAAATAGGTGTCTGTCACCTATTGGAGTCCAGGGAATGGCATCATGTGGTGTTCATGAAGGACTTCGTATCCAGGAAAAAGCTCTGGCCACCTCTAAGACGGCTCAGGACAGATGCCCTGGACTCTCCCAGTCCTTTCCAGAGACACAGTCATCCCTATAAACGTCCCAGTCCTGGCAAGGGCTGGATCTGCCAATAATAGCAGCCTAACCTGACTCATGTGCTCATCCATCACAACAGTGCACTTCCTTGGCATTTGCAAGCAATGTGGCACCAAGGTAAAATTTGTTTCTGTTAAACAAAAAGGCTCTTTTTTGGCTCATTCCCTCGCAGGCACAAACCACTCAGATTCAATGTTGCGCAGTACCTGAGAAAGAGTGGAATCTGACTCAAACACGAAGTGGGGCATATGTGACACACGGCACATCTTCAGACCCACCCATGAAATGGCACTCGGAGTCCCAGCGCCCCGCGGGCTGATGGCCCACCTCCCCACGCCATGGGGGTGCATGGAAACGCGATGGCGTCAAAGAACACGTGCTCCAGCACAGGCTGTAGTTCTGATAGAGCAGTGCTTGGTGCCACGTGCACGGACCGAACCATTCCCAGGTTCAGGCTCTCAGACACACAGCATGCATGGGATTTGCTATCTGCGTGCAGTCCAAGACAGTGGAAGAAACCACAGCAAAATGAGCACGTGCAACCCCCCCACACCAAAACACACCAGAAACTTCTCTCCCAAAGTCATTCATCCTTGCAGCATGTGCAAAGAAACAGAAGGGCTTACAAAATCTGAAACGTGCCAACAGAAGTTCATCTTCTGATACTCCATGAAGTGTGTCTCTCACCAGGCTCCTCCCCAGGCACCCCAGAGATGGCAGAATTCCCCCCTCCCTCCCAGCCCCACTGCACGGCTGCTCCGCAGCCCAGCCTCACACCCACGTTCCACCACACCTGAGCACAGCAGCTCTGGCACGGCTGCTGCCCAGAGGTGCCCCATCTCATGCTTTGGCCACGACAAACAATTCTTGCAGCTTTTGCACAGCAGCCACAACTCACCAAAATCTCTGGCATGTGCATCTTTGTTGAAATCACCCTCATGATCTCAGGGGGAACAGGGGAACCTGCAATGATTCCTGTAAGAAAAAGGAGAAGATGGCTGTCTCAGAAACTGTGTGTTTATTCATAGGAGCAGTGCCTCAGAAGGTTCTGCACACCCAGACTGAAATGCTGGCGAGACCTTTGGGATACACTGGTTCCTGTCAAAATACTTTCTATTTGTATGGATACAGAAGCAAAGGCTGCAGCAAAACCAGTTTGCCTGAATGAATTAAGGGCTGGCAGAGTTCACTTGCTAGGAAAATAAACTCTACAGCACATACTTTGTCCAAGCTACGGTTCCAGAAAAGGAAAGACTGAGAGCAGAAAGAGGCACAGATTTTTGCAGAACACTCCCATGGATCATCACCACCATAACAACAAAAACCTTTCCTCCTGCTCTGAGTGGACCACCTCTCTGGGGGAGGACAGGTCACATTCTCACCTGTTCAGATATGCCCTGGGATGAATGACAGAGTGAGAAAGCAAAGTAATGTGTAGGCTTTGCTGCATGACAAGATGAGACAAGGATCATTTTTCACATAACAGAGCTGATAAATCTGCTTAGGTGTTTCTTTGTGCTCCAGCACCATCTCCTCTCTGCTGCCATTGCCTCAGAAGGGCAGATGGCATCCCTCCTTCAGCTGTTGTGCTGAGTCCATCTGAGATAAGAGAGAATCCTCCAGCACATGATAGATGTTGTCATACGCGCGTCTTTAAAAACAGGCAGGAAAGTTTGGGTCAGAGAACTGACAGAACAGCTCTGACCACACCGGCTTAGAGCACAAAGCGTCTGCTGCCACACAGTGGTAGCTCGTGATAAGAGCCGAGCATGATCCGGCTTCCCAGTCTACCACGGCAGCAGCCTGCAGCAGATAAGTCCCCCCTTGGATTGCTTTAGGATGAAAGAAGAGCCCTAAATATACGTAATTCTTGAGGGAAATCCCAAGGAAACAAAATGCAGCACCAAATTAACGGCTCACACAAACATACACAGCATTTCCCTGCAGAGCAGTCATTTGTACACAAAGTTTAACATAACCTCCCAGCAGGGAAACAGAGATCCATTTCACTGGGCTTTTTCACTTTCCGTTGAGTTGTCAGACTTACCTCCCCGGAGAGTCGAAAGGTTGTAGGAGTCAAAGTCCGGCTGGGAAAGCATGTCTATGAACATGGTTGGCGTGCCGTGTAAGAAGGAGCATCTTCGAGAAGGGGGGAGAAAAGGCAAAGCTGCAGAGTTGGAGCCTGGTGCAGTAACACCTCAGTACCCCGCTCCTATCACTCAGGGTACATCAAATGTGCCCCACATCAGCACATGTATACAGATGTACACGGTAAATATACGTATGTCTATGTATATATACACATACACAACTGTAACTCCTTTGTTTTCAACAAGTTACACATGGAGCCCAACCTGGAAATGCTACCAGGGATAGATGTTGAGGCAATGGATGTGGGCTGGGTGTAAAACACACCGGCATAACAAACCAAGATGGACAAATCCCTACAGTGACCCAACATCCCCTTATACTCGGGGGAAAAAATGTGTGGCAAGCTCCCAAGTAGAGCAGAGTGCCTGCTGAAGAGCCTTTGTAAGTACACAGAGCAGCAAAGCTGCCGCTCTGTAGTGGGAAGGAAGCAGAGCAGCAACCTGGCAGGGCAGACAGGGTAGAAAGCACTGCCACGGGGCACTGACGTCCAAAGAGAGAACTCGCCAACTCTCACTTCTCTTGAGACACCGCCTCCAGCGTCGCCTTCCCCTCGAAGCTGGGGGCTGAGAAGATGCAGGAGGAGCCGTGCAGCGCCGACACCATGCAGCCTCCCACCGACGCCAGGCAGTGGTAGAGGGGCGCGGGGATGCAAACGCGGTAGTCCTGGGGCAAAGGGAGGCACGGTGAGCAGCAGGGCTCATCCGGGAGCCCATTCATCTCACTGCTGCGCCTCCAAGTGCCCAGCAGAAGAATTCTCTGGCTGGAACTCTGAAACTGGCTGGAATTCTGAAATTCACCTTTCTTCCCATTAGATAGAAAAGCTATGCTGATGCTTCTCTTATGCCCTTAATAACAATTAGTCTGGGACATTTTTCCTATCAAGATTTCATTCTGGATTCTTGCAATGTCTTTTCTTTGCTGGACTTCCTAGACTGGCATTGCTTACTGTTATGTTATAATATACCAGAAGAGAAGAATGGTAGTGCTGTTTCAGCATGCAGTATTGTGCAGAATTTGGTACATGCTATTAATTTTGTTTTTAAAATCACCAAAGGCTCTGATTGAAAAATCCTTTTTTTTTTAAATTATATATACATCTATTTAACCAAAGCCATAGTGTGAGAAATAACCACTTCACAACTTCAAAAAAAAAGGATTTGCCTTTCATTATCCCTAAGAGGAACTAAAAACAGAAAACATCAACAAGATCTTATATTGCAAAGAGTAACGAGAGTGTAAACATGACATGAAATGAAGTCATGTAAAAGAAATTAAAACCTCACTCAATAGAATTCAAAGCTAACATCTAGAGCTCTGTAATTGTTCAAAATAAGTATTCACCAAGATGAGAAGCAATTCATTTCACCATTTTCCCCCTACAGAAACACTTTTTAGAAAAAATAAAACAACAAAAGCTTCTCATGAATCTAAAATGCAATTTCAGTGAAACTCCACGTGGGAAAAGCGAGGGCAGTGCTTCCATCTGCAGGCACAAGGAAGGCCAAGCAAAACCTGAGCTGCTGGGCAGAACAGAGCCCTAGGAGCCCCTACGTTCCACCCCAGCAGGCACCTCTGTAGTGGGCCAGCATCCTTCACAGCAGCACACCCTGCCCTGCTGAGCAAGCAGCAGCTCCCTGCACATTTGTTCTCAGCAGCACCGAGAGCACAGCCCAACCTGCTCCACTGCAGGACCCACCTGCTCTGAGATCCCCAGCCTCGCCCCAATCAGATTGGCATTGTTCACAATGTTTCTGTGAGACAGCGTGGCTCCTTTGGGGCTTCCTGTTGTCCCCTGAAAGGCAAAGAGCATTCTGCAATGAGGTCACCTTTGCCGAGGGCACGCGTTCTTTGAGGCAAGCTCCCAGGCACAAATCCTAGCACATCTCACACTCCATCTCTTCACTGCCTTCCCTGACCTGAGAGATGAGATTTTTGATTTTTTTTATCCTTTATCGGCGCTCAGTCCCAAACCAGACAAAAAAGTGGCTCAACTACAGCTGGAAAATTCACATGACAATTCTTGACAAAGGGCTGAGCAGCAAGAAGTAGAAAGGGGAAACCCTAGAAGACTTCCTCCATTCTGCAGAAGAGGTGGGAAAAGACAGAACCAGGGCTTGGTCAAAGAGAGCATTAGGCAGAGGAAGCTCAGCATCTAACAGAGTCTTCTCTGTGTCCCAGCTGGGGAACCAAGCACAAGGCATGGAGCAAACAGAAGCACCTACTGAAGTGAACTGGATGTTGACCGGTTCGTTGCAGGACAGGGTCTGCTGCAAGGTTCTTAACTGCTTCATGTGGCTGCTGTCCCCAGCCTGCATCACTTCGTCCATGTGAAAGGTACCAGGCAGCTTGGAGTCCAGCATAATGACAGTAGATAGGTCAGGTAGCCTGGTAGAAGGAAACATACCATCAAGAATGGAGCAAGGAGAAAACTGTCCAAATAGCTGTATGGAGGCCAGGGTAAACCTCCTGCACAGGCTAACATGTCTTCTTTGGATAAGACTCAATTACTGTAACACAAGAACGAGAAGCATTTTAGAGCAGCTCACACAGGATACATACACCAAAACAACTTTACTCCTGTTTCCAAATCTATAATCTATGTTATAAGGACGAGTTGTGTGTAGGATGTTCCACCTCTAAGGATTCTATGATTCTACAAAGAGCCCTTCTATTGCTGGCAATGATGGCTGAAGCCCAAACAGGTCATTCCAAGACGTTATCAATCACCTGTCTGGGATCTCAGCAGCACCCTGCAGTGGCCCTGCAATGGCAGAAGGATGTGGACTTATCAGAAGCAGTAGGAACAGCTTTACAAGTGCCTGAGGCAGTACCTGCAGAGCGGTGCTGGGGGAGAGGCTTCATGGCTGTGGTGTCTCCCAGCACAGATCCACTAAGCGCCCTCATCAGTACCTACAGTCCTCAATAGAGAGACCTCTGCACAGATCCTTCCTCCTCTACAGCGTGTTGCTGCAGCTGAGATGCACACGGCAGGACACAGCTGCAGGTCAGTGAAACATGCCAGGTGTTCCTAACCCACCTTTTGCTCTTTATTCCCCCCGGACTGGAGTTTTCCACTTCAGGACATGACTGCTTTAGAATATCATAGTATTTCTGCGATTTAAAATGAGCAGGAAAGACCAATGCCTTGCAGCCAACCTGTGAAGGGAGACAGAAACTGATCAGAACTCACACTGGGGTGATGCTCAGGCTACAAAGAAGAGCAGAGCCTACAAGACAGTGACCCCACATGGCACAGGTTCTCCGGTGGCTGTTCATGGGATGTTCTCCAGGCTGCTCTGTTTAAGCACATGATCCTGACTCTCCAGACTAAACCTGAAGCTTTTTATAGACCTCCCTAGTAAGAGCCATCGTATACAAGGTTAAAGAGTCACTGAACAGTGCATAAGAGGTCTCTGCAAAGTGAAAATACAGCAGGAAACTCTCATGGCTGGGGGTTCATGGCTGGGCAAGAAATCAGAGCTGCAGCTGATTTCAGAGGTGATCTCAGTGATCTCAGAGGATCACTGTTCTTCACTGCAGTGTGAAGGCAAAGGACTGATGTTTCAGGTCAGGAGACCCAATGTTAACAAAAAGCCCAGTCCCAAATTAAAAAAAGAATTTGATTTGAGATGATCTGAAAAAAAAGGATGTTTGAGGAGCCTTGGGAAAACACAGAAACTTAAAGATTGCTTCTCAATTTAGGCCAGGTTTGGAGGTTTTTTTGTTTTTTGGTTTTTAAGATGCACAGATTCACAAGTTTCTTCCACCTCCTTTTAAAGTGTAAGCTCTTCTGAAAATTACAGCATTTTTCATTCAACCTTTATGTTTGCTTAATCCTGAAACAAGGCACTTTAATTACTCCAAGAATTTCTATTTATTTTTCAGCAGATGCAATCTGTGGAATTTGACCCAGATTTGCAAATTGCTTTCGTCTTCCAAAAGCACATTTTTGTCAAATAAACTGTTTACATAAATTATCTACTTGGCTGTTCTCATTATTTTCCCAGGATCCATGAAATCAAGGGGCCAAATTTACACCAATACGCTGCTTTTAAGTACCCTCTGGAGTGCATCAGAAGGGAAGACAAACATGTGCTGAATTTATGGAAGAGCCTGTCCGGATCCCAGGGGACTGTGCCTTTTCTGGGATGTTCTGAGGCTTTCCAGCTTTCCCTGTTAGTCACTTGAAGCTTCTATTCTGATTTAACTAGCTTTGCAAACAGGCTACATGAGGCGCTGCAGGCAGATGCTGTAGGAGAGAAGAGCCTTCAGTCCAACATCTCCCATTCAGCATCGACTAGAAGGAGCAGAGCCTTCCCCACACACCCTGCCACACAGAAGCTATCACCAGTTTGCTTTCACCAAGCCCTGGAAATATGATGGCAGCAAATGGAGGAAGAATGGTTGCTCAGTATTTATTACTGCGTGTACTGGAGGGAACCTGATGTAGCAAGAAAGAGACTGCACAAGCTGATGCAATTCAATGGGCAAAGCCCAAAAATCCCCAGGGTTTTTTGTTGTGGGAAAAAAAAAAAAAAAAATCAGATAATTGGTGGGGATGAGGAAAACCAGAGAACCCAGTGCCAGAGGTACACGTGAAAGCGAGGAACAGTAGAAAACCCGAGGCAGAGCAGCTCCCAGCAGAGCTGAAGCAAATTCTGCTCTTCCCCCTCAGTGCTCTGGGCTTATGCTGGAGAAAATCAGAGCAGAATCTAACACAAAAATACAGAAAGGGGAACAAAATCCAGGTCTCCTTGGGAAAAAAGGATAGGAGTGCCATCTTGGGAGAGAGATGTGGAATGAAAGTCATGAACAGAGCCAGGAAATGAAATATTCCTGATACCAACAAGTGCAGCACCACTGTAGGGCAGCACATCACCTGTCCCAGGTGCAGGCAGGTGCTGGCACGTTCACTTTGAGCTTACAGTGCCACCTGGTGAGAGCACCAAGACACCCACACTGGAGGGGAAGTGCTTCACTGCAGTGCATTTAGTATTAATATCTGGAGACAACAGCTACGCTGGCAATATTACCACAAGAGGATTAAATGAAGGATGAAATGAGAACTTAACCTACAGCCCAGCAACCAAATTCCAGACTGTTGATGCAACAAAAAAAATCTCATTTAGCAGCAAGAGATCCCCACTTCTTTCCAGACAGTGCAAGAACCTGTATGGTGGTCTTGCTTTTGTATGTCTGTCACCAGCCCTGTCCTCTGGCCAGCTCTCCTTGCCTCTTCCTAATATGCCTACGTGTTTAACCAGTTCACCTCTCTGTAGCATCTCCCTACTATTCCCTTTAACAAACTGCTTTTATGACTTCTCATAACAAATCAAGTAGAATTAACAGCGAGTGCCATACAAACCTTCCTGATCACAAACTCCAGCTCACTGGCCTGATAGGCTGGATTCACAGATACCTGAGGAAGGAAAAACAAGAAGGGTAATCAGAGTAAACCTTACCTCAAAAACCCTCTTCCCTAATATATATTCCACCAAGAAAGTTCTCCCAGAGGCAGGTCACAGTCGAAGCCTCTCCTGTCTGAGAGGCAGACCTAACAGCTCACCACAAGGAACTCACGTTCACTAGAAAAGCTATCTGAACCCTGTGTTTGCATGAAAGAAAGGGGAAAAGATTCACGAGTCAGTAACAACAGCTTTAGGAATAAAAACAGTCCTCCTTTCTCCCTGGCAGGCATTAAATCCAAGTCAGAGATACTCAAAACTCAAGGGAACCTTGGGATTCTTAACAACCAGCAAAATATCAGCATTTCCCTGTACGGCTCTCAACAGAAGCTGAGCTGATCCTCAGGGTCATCCTGAGCTGTGCTCATGCATCCTATTACTGCTCCTTAGCAGACACTGGGATGAACAGTGCTGAAAAAAATATACTGGTTATACCAGTAACAGTGTTACAGTCCTTACACAGAGCACTGTATAAATAGGGCACACTTTGGTTAACGTACCAGATCACACAATCAATGAAAACTGCCTTTCAGGGGTACACAGTTTGGGTTAGGTTTTTAAATGAGCATTTGTATCTTGAAGCCATACAGATATGTTTAGGAGGGATCTAGGTAACTGATAGCTATTTAGGACAACTGCATGTACCATAAAAGCCAGCCTAGAGGCAATCTTGTTTGTATCCATCACAGTTTCCTGCAAGCTGTTTCACAGCAGGCCGTTCCTTTCCACTCTTTCCTCAAAGCCCCGCTGTCTGCTGCCCTGACAGCAGAAGATGCAGAGCGCTGCACAGATCTTGCTTGAACAGACTTCATTAGCAGCTCCGTGCTGGGTACGAGCACGGGAAGAGTCAGACTACAAACCTCACTCTCCACCACATCCTATCGCTGTGTCCATCTCCTTTCCCAACGCACTGATAAAAACCCCAGCACTTACCAGGATGATTCCTGCCTGGGCAGTTGCAAACTGCATGAGAACCCACTCATATTTATTGGGACCCCACATTCCTAGCCTGTCTCCCTTCTTCAGGCCAAGAGCCAGAAGTCCAGCTGCTGCTTGGTCTACCTGTAAAATGCAAGACAAGCACCTGAGGATCATAAACATCATGTGGTAGTGGATATCTTTCCACAAAGTGGGAGCCCAGATGGGCTGTTCATGTGATGGTACTGCTTCCGAGTAGCTTTCCTCATCCTCGTCTTCTTCATTCCCCCTTTTAGGATAAGCTCATTTCCTTACTAAGCAAGATGACTTCCATTTCCATTGTTTCTTGAATAAAGGGGTGACAGATACTGGCTCGGACGGCTCAGTGGTCTGGCAGTGGTGCCTGCTGTGGGGGCTGGATCAGCTGCAGAGCCTGGTGGAGGAGCTGAACCAGATCCAAAGGCCTCTCCTCCAAAAGGTGCTGAGAGGTGCAGACCAGACCTCAGCACAGTGTGGTGAGCAGCAGATCTCTGGCTTGGCCAGGATCAGGGCATATCTTTTTTAAACATTCTATCAGTTTTTTAGGATTCTGCACTTGCTCAGGGTTGAAGTCCAAAACCACTGGAGGTAACAAAGTTGAAAGTCAGACCAACGTGACCAACACAAGAGCTAAAGCCTGCTCCAGGTGGTGGAACCATCATGACTCAGCCCATAGAAATTATTGTCACCACCTGATGTATTAAGTATGAAAGTTCATTTTGGAATATAAAGTAATTATTTAATGTATGCTGTCTTCTCCCTTTGATCTTGTGATCTGTAAGGACAAGGGCAGCACACACCCACTGGATGTTTGCTCTGCCAGTGCTGTCATTGCAGGCTCAGAGTACAGAGATCCACACAGAGAAAAATCCTTGCTCCTGAGCTAACCAATGAAACCAGTCTGGATTCCTCCATTAACACCAGCTGTTGTCCCATTGTATCAGCTCGGGCTCAGACGTGAATCAGACACTCACCTCCCCTTTGAACTGAGCAAACGTTTTCCGAACTCCATCTCGGTGGAAAACGAAGGCATCACGGTGGGGAAACCGCTCCGCTGTCTCATCCAGGCACTGGCCCACAGTTTTGTTTATAAGTGGAATGTCCAAGGTCCCCTGCACGTAGCTGTCGGTCACCCTATGGGATGCAGAAAGTGTCCTTGTGTGCAGGACACTGTGAAGGAAAAGAAGCTGTGAGACAGATGCCAGCAGGGTTTTCCCTGCTCTCACAAACCCACCGAGCACTTCAGGAGCTGTTCTGCATGATCCCAACTCATTACTGAGGTGGTCGCCTCCCAGCTTACCCAGCCGACTTCCTAATACTGTAATGGAAGATACAAAGAATTCCTAAGCGACGAGGTTCAGCTCAGGGCTCTGGTTACAAAAGAGTGTCTTCTTTAATGTAACCAGTCATTACAGTGTTCCCAGTCTGAAAGAATCACCCATTGCCTGCAGTACCAGCAGTATCCATATGAGAGCTAAAAGCCTTGGCCACTAATCTCTGGATCATCCTTGCAACCTCTCCTGTGCTATTCCAGCCTTGGTTATCAGCCCCGAGCTCCACCCAGACTGAGGACTACAAAATAGTGAACTGAATCAGACAAAAGTGGGGTTTTTTCCTTCCCAAGGCCCAATGGCTCACTCCCATGAGGTGCAAGCAATGCATCCCACGGAAGCCAGCAGAGAGCTTTTGCTCTGCATCAGCTCAAACAGCAGTCAGCTATCACAGCATCACCAACCCAGAACAAAGGGGCCATCCCCAGCACATCCCATGCTCAGCCCAAGCAGAGCACCTCATGCAAACCACACCTGCAGACATATGACTACAGCAGAGTTAAGACCACTGCTCTTGTGAGATGCCACAGAAATATGAGGAAGGTGGTTCAATGCCAGGGCTGATAAATGAACATCAGAGCTGGTACTATCCTTCTTAGATTTCAAAAGAACAGACACCACCCTGAAAGATGTTAAGCAAGATCCTAGGACACAAACATGCTTGCCCTCACTCATCTCTACATGTCAGGGCCACTGTGAGATATTTCCCTCTTCCAGAAAGAGAGATGAGAAACCGAATTGGTGAGCTCCAGCAAGACCTAAGTGCACTAAAAGGAACCACAGGCAGCCACTTTTGTGCCTAAGATCAAAAGGACCTCCAAAAGCACTTGGAAAGCAGCTGCCCCACTTGGAGATGCCCACGTCAGCTGGCAGTGGAGGCACACAGAGCAGGGCTGAAAAAACCAAAACACCACTCACCCCCAGGGCAGAGCCCACAGCAGCCCCAGGGAATGCGCCCTGCCTGGTGCTCGCTGTGCTGCTCTCATTTATCCGGTGTGAAAACCACTCCGAACATTTCTAAATATCTGGAGAGATTGTGGTTTTGGCAGTTTATTGAGAGATCGTAACATTAAAAGGTGCAAATAACATGGAAGGAAAACAGTGAAAACCTTTCGCAGGGATGCTCATTATAATGGCTTCCTTCTGCTGGGAAGAGGAGATGGCTGGGAAAGTTAAACAAAACTTAGTGCTGCGTCATTTTAACCTGTTCGCAAAAGATCTGTGGAGAACAAGACAGTCTTGTCTCACAGGATAAAAACTGTTTAGAAGAGATCAAAGGAGTTGAGCTTTAACTGAGAGCTACTAGCAGAGTAATGACCTGTGTGTGCAGCACTAAGTGGGCTGCGTGCGCTTTACTGCCTCCGGGAGCAAAACCACAGAGTTTACAGTCCTGGAGACAGCAGCAATAAAACGAGGAGCTACCAGAGCAGAGAGGGGAGAGAGCTGCAGGGCCAGCAAAGCAGGCTGGCAGGGGAAAGAAGGATACACAACAAACAGAGACATCAGGGATGGAGGACAACCTGGGAGGTGTTTCAGCAGAGAAGGGCCTTGGCAGAAATGGTGAGACACAGTACTTGAGGAGCACAGAAATGATACTGGAGGCCAAACTGGAGAGGAAATGGGAAGTAGCAAGAAGCTATGGGCTTCTAGAGCACTAGTGAAAAGCATTTTAAAATCACTCAGGCTTTCCCTGATGGTCAGCTGCTTCGCTCAGCAGAAAAGCAGCAACTTCCTCTGAAATCACAGCTGTCAAGAATCCAAGTGCTGCTGTTCTCCCTTCCTCCTGCTCTGAGCCTTTCTCTGCCCAACAGCTGCCTGCCAGGCAGGATGCAGCCCCACCAGCACTCCTGCCTCCTGGTTCCTCTCTCCTCACTTCTCACCTTCTCTCCTGCACTCCTGACTTGGGATATTCCTAGGAAAGACAGGGTTAAGCAGCACTTTCAGGGTGCGTGGCTCTGCAGCACTGCCCTTTGTTCACAGATGTGAGGCAGAGGAAAAAAAAAAACAACAGATCACCCTGAAATCAAATTTTACCCATTCATTATGGGATCAGTACTCTGCAAAGCCTTTGTGCTAATTGCCGAGAACTTGCTTTCCTGGCCATGAGGAACAGAATTAGCACGGGGTTACTTCCTCTGTGAGATGGGGTTCTGCCTCCTGGCTGGCACAAGTCGAGATGCTGCCTTTGGGGCAGCTGGGCTCACAGAGCAGAGCAGCACAGCCTGACCCTCTTCCCACACTTCTCGTCAGCAATGGCAGCTCCGCTCTGCTCAGGCAGTCACTTCTCTGCACAGTCACAGCTCTGCACAGCAGTTCACACTGTGGCTGCAAGGGCTGCCCCAGAGGGAGGAGGGAGGATATAATCAAACAAGCAGTAAAGAGAATTATCTTTTGTTTCAAAGCTCCTGGGCTAGGCACATATAAAGACCAGGAGGTGAAAGAAAGCTCCACTGAAGAAAAGCCTTTGATAAGAGTTGAAAAAGCTCTCCCCAATCCACAGAAGTGTGTTTTTAGGGAGGCAATAAAAAACGCGGCAGCTCCTGCCATTCGTGAGCCATCGTCACATTGCTGCAGGGCACATTTAGAAAAGCTCACACTCCCATACCTCACACTGCCAGAGCAGGAAACCACAAACTATTTGCAGAATATCAGTGGGGGCCGCCACACTCACATCTCTCTGCAGCCAAGTCACCTCCAGTTCCAGTGGAAGCGGAGCTCATCTCTATGGTGATGCTCCACATTTCCCACCAGCTGCACGGAGAAACAGGCGCCCTGCTCGGTGCTGAGCTCCCTCGGACACCAGGGCAAGGTGAGCCCGGGGTCAGCCAGCAGAGCCGACCTGCTTGTGCAAAAGCACTTTCACCAAGTGCACCCCCGGGTCGCCCGGAGCCCAGCAGGCTCTGTGCTGTGCGGGGAGCAGCAGAAGGCTTTCATTGACCACGCTCCTCTTGGGACTCAATCCAAGGGAGCTGTTACCAACTGGTTAAAAAAATACATTTGGTCTCATGTGTTTCCCCAGCACGGGGCTGACAAAACAAAAAGCAGAAAGAAAAAGGAAGAGAACATTCAATTGAAATCCAGACCCTGCTGCCGATAGAGTCAGATCTTTATGCTTTCTGCAGTCTCCTTTGATGTCCTCTGAGCTGCTTGCACAGCCCTGCGCCGCTGCCACTCACAGCAGGCAGAGCAGAACCTCAGCTTACACCCCCAGTTCCTCCCAGGCTGAGGATCTCACTGATCTCACAGAGGCCAGAGCCCCATGGCCCAGGCATGAGGGTTTGTTTTCAATCTGAGAACAATTAAAGTTCCTCATGTGGTCCCCAGAAATTCTCCCATGCAGAAAGGTTCTGGGGCTGATCCTCACTCCTTAACACACAAATCCCAAGCCAAACAACAGCTCCTCCTTCCTCCAGTTTTCATGGCTCCATCTCCCTCCCTGTCCCAAATGTGGGGATGAAAGAATGTCAGAAACTGTCAAGTATTTCTTTACAAAACTCTGCAATCCGAAGTGCTTCAGTGGCACTGCCCTCGCAGTGTGGAAGCACACACAGCTGCCTCCCAGGCCCCCACCCTGCACCAAAAACAACTGCAGCCTTGAAATCCGGATCTGAAACAGCTCACACTCATAGCCCAGAATCACTAACTGGTCTCAAAATGCTTCTCTTCAGAAACACCAACGGAGCAAAACTCACAGCTTTCATCTGGTTCGAGCTCCCCAAATTCAAGTCCGATCTCTGGAAATGCTTTGGCACTCCTGTACTGCTTGTTTCTTGGCCATAGCAAAAAGCAAAAGGTGCAGGCCAAAGTAAAACAGCATTCTGAAGCACCGGGAGTCCAGAACAGAAGGAACAAGGCAGATGCATCACGTGGGAACGATCAGCAGCACCATGCTGACAGCGGTCTGCCTCCTCCTGCCCAGAGCCAACAGCCAGCACGAGCGTGATTGCAAAGAGGAAGAATGTTTAAATGGCATGGGTCCAAAGGATTTATATATTTTCTTTAATCTTTGCTGTAGAAGACAAATAATTCACCCTCCACCCCCTCCTGTGGCACAGCTGGAGGTAAAACAAGTCAGGAGCCGCTGGTTTGATCTGATGGCAGCTCTCCTTTCCCTGCCTCAGCTGGCAGAAGGCAAAAAAACTCCTCTTGGGTTCCACCAATAAACTTTACTCTTTGAGAGCGCATGTCTTCTTTTAGCAACGCATTCCAGCAGCAAAGCAGCCTGCAGTGCCTGCAAACAAGCCAGCCTCACCACCATGCTGCTCCTGCATGGCAGCAACCTCAGCAGCAAAACTGCACAGAGAAACGTCGGGGCATGGGGGAAAGAGCTTCCTCCTTGTCTCATGTGAAAGCAAGGCCAGCAGATGGATCACAGCTGGCCCAGAAAGCACTCCTACCCAGCAGGCACATCAAACTTTATAAAGCAGTCTCAATCAATCTCAGGAGCAGTGTGTGATTAACCCTGACCAACGTTTTACAGCTGCTGACATAAGATAACTGGTTTCATTTTTCATCTCTTTTTCCACCTCTGCAGAAATTACCATGAGAAGGGAGGTGCAACCCCTCATGCCCTGCAGTGAGCACAGAGCTGCCCTGCAGCAGTGCGGGGTGCTGACTGACTGCTGCTGCTCGCATCCTCTTGGGGCTCAGAACTGATCCCAACTACAGAGCTTAGATTTGGGGAAGCTCAAGGACTCCACATCCAGCTTCTTGTTCCTGGAAATCCATTACGATCACCTCCCCACAGCAACAAGTTCTGGGTCTCTTATATAAAAGAACTGCAAGAGAGGTGAGCTAGCACTGCTCTGCACTATCTTTACGTCCTTGCTCTTTAACACAGCCCTGTTGGCTGCAGAGTTAATCACCTTTTGATTACTTTTTGTATGTTTACTTTATTTAGAGCAATGGTGATCTCCAGAGTCTTCACAGAGCCCTCAGGTTTCAATTCCAGCAGACTGGCTGTGTTGTCCTGTGTGCCTTTCCCTTCTGCACTCGTTCTGCCCAAAGGATAAGCACTGCACAATGCTAAGAGCAGAGTTTAATAAGTCTTCATGTTACTAGAAAGAGTTCATTCTTCTAAATAGGCATTGTGAGTCACTGTTCTGCCAGCACCCAGCTTCACATGGAATGCTGGGCTGGAGTCCAAACTGCGATAAACATTCGGTGTCCCTTCCCTCCTGATCCTGTTTCTTAAGAACAGATGTTGAGATGGTATTTCCCCATCAGAGCCCAGCTGCAAAGAATGACCAATTACCTGCAGCCCGAATGTGAATCCTGCCGAGCTACTTCCTGGAAGCCACGGCTCCGGGTAGGATTAGTGTCCGAATTTCAACCAATCCTTCAAAGCATCTCCTAAAGCCAATTGCTTTCCCGTCTCCGTTTTTCCCAAGAGCTCGCTAAAAAAGGCAGTATGGACAAAAGCGAGAACCGGCCAGCTGCAGAGCTCCTCGGAGCCACGGGGAGCTGCCAGCCCCGCACTGCTGCAGACCCAGCAGCGTCTGCACGCCGTAAGAACAACACTGGGCCAGGGGCACCGACGGGCGCAGCCCGCGAGTCGGAGTGCTGGGCGGGGAGGAGAAAGAAGCTCGTCTGTGCGTTGCACGTTATGGTGCAGTCGGGATGGAGCTGCTGCACAAAGGAAGTTCAGCCCTGGGCACACACATTCCTCCGCACGCTGCGTGGGGCTGTCCCTGCCCCTGGGCCTGCAGGAGGCTGCCCGTCTGCTGCTGCTGCTTCAGGGGGATACTGGGGAGCCAAAGTACAGCGACACACCGACTTAAACCTCCAGCCCCCCTGAGCCGAACCCGGCCCCTCTGCACTGCAGCCACCGCCTGGCTCAACACCCGCATCCCTCTGCCCCCTTCAGCCCTACATAGCTGCCCTATTGCCCCAACAACACCCTGCCCCGCAGCGCCCCGTCCCCTCTATCCCCCCTCACTTTGCACCCGGACCCTGCAGCCCCCACCTCCCGGCCCGTCCGTACCGCGCGCTCAGGCGGAGCAGCCCTCGGCGGGGCAGAGCTGCGAGCAGCGCGGCGGAAGCCATGAGTGCGGCGACGGCAGAACCGGGGGGGCCGGGCCGCCTTCCCGCTCCGCTCCGTACGCGGCTCCGGCGGGGGCGGTGCGTGGCACGGGGAGGGCAGGGCTTGGCTTGGCCGGTCTCGCCCCGCAACGCCCCGGCCGTGGAGGGAGGAGGGGGAGCGGGAGCTGGGAACCCTGCTAACCTCCACCCGCCCTGCCGGCTGGAGCAGATCGCAAAGCATCTTCTGTGCGTGGGGTGCCCCGCTGGAGCGGTGGGCGGGGATGCTGCGTGTCCCAGGGCACGGCCGCGGCTTCCCGGGATCCCCCTTTCCTTCCCGGCCGCTGGCACGCTGCTGACAGCACTGAGCCCCGTCGCCCTGCTCACTTCTCTTCCCAGCTCCCTGCCCTGCAGCTCTGTCCCTCCGCTCTGTGCCCGCGGCCACTTTTTGCCTCACCCCCAAGCACTTCGCCGCGGCCGCCCCGAAGCCCTCACGCAAACCCTGAGCCTTGGCTGACACGGACTTTGATACAAGGGCTGAAATTGACTCTGACAAGGCAACCAGCGCTGCTTGCCTGTTTTTCTGCATCCGTCAGAGCCCTGTGAGTCACTAATTAATTTCTAGCCTTATCCACTTAATGAATTATCACAGTTACCACTTCACTAATGGCTTTCAGCACTCTCTGGCTGTCTGTACCCCGTCACATCAAACAGCAGTGAGGAGCAGCAGAGCCGGGCATGCCAAGGGCAGAGGCAGCACCCAGAGGAGCTCTGCAGCACACAGCAGCACTGACACTGGTGCAGAAGGGCTGACACGTGTGGCATTCCTTGTGGCAAATGATTGACAGAGCCTCCGAGCACTGCTGGAGGCTGGGGTATAAATTTGGTGCCAGAAGGTAACCTGTGTCTCAAACATCACACAGATGTTAACCAGGCGGTGCCACCAGGGTGGGCTGAGAGGTGGCCTGATTCTCACTCAGCCACTGACCTGCAGGACGATCACTGGCAGTCATTTTGCAACCCCACTTCTGGTTTTCCCCTCTGCCCAGGCAGACACCAGAGTTCAGCAGTGGGAGATACTTCAAGGCTCGCTCACCGTGTCGAGTGCAACAAAGCTTATGAACAAGGGCATCAGTACTGGCTGCAGTGAATGTTAGGTATCAAACCCACAAAATATGCTTGTAACACAACCATGTAATTGAAATGCTGCCTGCAACCAGATCTCATTTGGTATGGCTGGCTTTAGAAGTAGATTTCAGATTTCTCTCAATGTGCATTGCTTGTGAAGCACAAGGAGCTTCTTTGGTGGCAGCAGTGGTGCTGATTTATTTGGTTGGAGGAAGGAAAATCTTGTCTTTGAAATGTGAAAAAGTGGTGAGCAGGTAGGTGAGTTTGGGCATTTCCATAGATGATGTAAGGCTGTGTGGTGTTCATGGCCAGGAGTCACTGCTGCAGCAAAGCACAGTGCAATTATCTGTATCTGTACTGCAGGAGCATCAATGTGTGCTCAGTGTTGTATAACCACAGAGAAAAAAAAATCAATGTCTTTGATACAAAAAAAAAAAAAAAAAAAAAAAAAAAAAAGGAGGAGTCAGACCTCCTCTCTTCTCCCTGGCACAGATTTGCCCTTCGTTGCCCCCTGAACCTTGCTGCAAAAAGCAGAAGTGCTGGAGTTTTGCATATCCAGACCTTGCTTCTCCCCAAAGAGGGCTCTGCCATTTCAGCTTACCATTGGGAGGCACAATAACCTGCTTTACCAAATTCCTATAACATCCTGGATGAAAGCACATCAACCTTAGGTACTTTCCATGGTATTTTCTAGGATGCAAATCCTTGTTTACCATTTGTGATGCCTTTGCTTGGAACCTCCAATAATCTCCGTTACATCTAAGATGAGCAGATCCCCCTGGCTGGAAGAGGCTCAGTGACACCGCACAGAGCAGCCAAGGTGCTCCCAGGGCACAGCTGTGCCAAGCGGTTACCAACGCCTCTGTAAGCACACACAGGTCACAATGCGTGTGGGGGCTTGGGAACTCAAGGCTCGTTCTCACCATAATCCCATTACTGGGGAGCACTGATTCGGCTCTGTCTCAGGAAAAACTCTTCCCCCGACTTTTTCGGCCGTGGGTCAATCGGGACAGGAGGGCACTTTGCAGGTGGAGCTTTCGGATCAGAAGAGAAGTGGCAGAATTCCTCCCCGCAGAGAGGAACACCTCGGTCCAACCGCAGCTCCCAGAAGACGAGTCCGGGCTCTGAGCGTGGCGGCGGCGGGGGCACGGCGCTGCGCGATGCGGCCCGGCGAAGGGCGGCGCGGCGGAGGCAGGGAGGCGCGGATCGCCGGCGGCGCCGCTCCGGGCCGGCAGGGGGCGCTGCGCTGCACCGCGGTGCAGACGTGGACGCGGAAGTGGCTGGCGGGGCGGCGGGGCGGCGCGGGGTCCGCGGAGCGGCCATGGCGCGGGGCGGCGGCAAGGCGGGCAGCCTGAAGGACAAGCTGGACGGCAACGAGCTGGACCTGAGCCTGTGCGGCCTGAGCGAGGTGCCGGTCAGGGAGCTGGTGAGCGTCCGAGCGTGCGGGGCCGGCCGGGAGCAGCGGGCCGATGCCGGCTTTGGGGCAGCAGCGCGGTGACCCGGCGTGCGGGACGGAGCCGGGCAGCGGACCGTCGGACCGTCGCGGCCCGTTTGGCGGAGCCGGCGCTGCCCGGCCGCGCAGACGGCTCCGGGTTCGCTCCTTAGGGCGAGAACCCCGGCTGTGGGCCGCGTCGAGATACAACGTTGCTTCGCGGAAGGCCGATACAAAAGTAGCGCCTTCCAGAAGGGTTCCGTACTGTATCCGTGCGTTCAGTCGGTACCGCTTTCTTCCAGGCTGCGCTTCCAAAAGCAACCGTGCTGGATTTGTCCTGTAACAGCCTGGTTTCCTTGCCGGTAAGATGCCCGACAGCCTTCGTGAGGATGAAGCGGAGCTGGTAGGAAATATCGGGGAGAGATCATTGCTGCTCCAACAGCCGCTGGCTCAGCCGGAGGTCGGAAGGAGCTCTGGGCTCTTCTCTGCTCCTGGGCGGGTCGGTGCAGTGCGGGGCAGACACGAGAAAAGGGCTCCTCCTGCCAAAGGACCCCAGTGCGAATGCAGAGCAGGCTCAGCAGCTGCAGAAATTCAGCTGTTTCAGCTGTACTGCTGCACACCGCCTCTGGTTCGCCCGCCCCACCGTTACATACCTCACTTTTCTGAGGCAATTCTGAGGCAAAGGAAGTGGGGGATTCTCCTCCACCAGTTCTGGGGGAAGCTGAGGATTTGTGGCTTATATCAGGCTTATAACAGACTCAGCGTAGTGCCTGCTGAGGACCCTTCAGTAAGGTGCTGAAATGATTTTCCTGCTTTTTGGTTGTGTTTTAGTCAGATTTCTGCAGTTTGACACACCTGGTGAAACTGGATTTGAGTAAAAATCGGCTCCAACAGCTGCCCATGGACTTTGGGCGCCTGGTCAGCCTGCAGCACCTGGACCTCCTCAACAACCGTTTGGTCACCCTGCCCGTCAGCTTTGCACAGCTCAAGGTAAAGCCGGTGGCTGGGCGGTTACGTAAAGCTTTGGGATGCAGCCCAGGGTCTTGTGATCCTTCTCAAGTTGATTTCTCTGGTGAAGCATCAATCCTGATGACTACTCTTTCCAAAATTCAGCTGTCTCTGCACCACAGCCCAGAGGAAATTCTCTCACACCTACTGAGAACACTGAGCTCCCTACTTGTCTTCCATACCTATTTCATTTTTGGGAAAACCAAGCAACTCTTTGCTTCTGTTTTGAATTTCTCAAATAACCACAATCTGTTGTGATGTTTGTGGTCATCTGTTTACCCTGAGCTCTGACAGCCTCCCCTTCGCCATCCCTTCCTGCAGAACCTGAAGTGGCTGGATCTGAAGGACAATCCCCTGGATCCTGTTCTAGCTAAAGTAGCCGGAGACTGTCTGGATGAGAAGCAGTGCAAGCAGGCTGCAGTCAGGGTAAGGAACCTGCCTGCTGTTTTATTCTTGTTTCTTATCTTTGGTGGTGATGTTTTTTTCCCCTCTCTTTACTTAGAAAGCTCTAAAGTTTCTTCAGCCAGCGAGGCACCAGTTCTTTGCACTGATTTTACTGCTTCCATGGCTATAGAGAAACTGAGAGTGGGACTCTCCTCCGTTAGTAGAATTGAGGACTAAGTGCTGCTTTCTTAAGGAATTGAAGGCACAATCAGACAAAATAACTTGTGCATAGGCTTTGTTATATGCCAGAGTATAAAAGTCTTCATAGAACTACTGTGGGAATCCATAGGGTCATGTAAATAGTCGTTGCTGGGATCTGCGGAGCAAACAGTTAAAATATGCACTTCTGTTACTGCCTTGCCATGCTGCTGTGAAATAGTTCAGGCTGATGAAACAAGCTGTTCCATGATCCTCTGTTAACTGCTAGCACTGGTTTTCCATGTAATTTTAAAGCAGAGACCTCTGTTTCTTAACTGCAAAGATTGATGTAGCGAGTTCTCTCCAAGTCATACCTGGAGGGCTCAGTCTGCTGTGGCCATCTGAGCAGATCAGTGGTCAGATCCATCTGACTGCCTTCAGACACACTGCAGCCATTCTGTTGTGATCTCACCTTGTTCTCTTGCACCTTGAAGGTACTGCAGCACATGAAAGCGATCCAGTCTGAGCAGGATCGAGAAAGGCAACGGAAGCTCCAAGCAGAGCGAGGTAAGCACAGAGTCCTCACATGCACACTGCTGAATTCTGCCCACAGTAATGATTGCCAGCAGGCAAATATTGGTAACTATTGAAATTCTGAGCAGGGTAGAATGGCAGAATGCAGAAAGATAACCTGGGACACAATGCTAGTTCTTGCCTTCTTGACAGAAGAATAGGATGGCTTAGTTTGGAAGATACCTTAAGAATCACCTAGTTTCAACCCCGCTGCCATGGGCAGAGACACCTCCAACTGGACCTGGTTACTCAGAGCCCCATTCAGCTTGGTCTTGCACACTTCCAGGGAACAGAATGAAAGATAAATAAAAGAAAAAAAAGAAAAACCACCACCACCAGAACAAACCACTACACCACAGGATAGTTATTTGATTTCAGAGCATCAAAGAATAGTTAAGGTTGAAAGAGGTTTCTGGAGGTCATCTGGTCCAACTCCCTCCTCAAGCAGGGATGCTGAGAGCAGCTTGCCCAGGACTGTGTCCAGGGGTTCCAATTAGGAACAGATAAGCAGGTAGTAAGGAAGAAGCCAATGACAATCCTCTATATAAATGGAAAACTTCCTATTAATCCCCAGAAATGGAAAAGAAGCGTGAAGCAGAACAGCGAGCCAAGGAGGCTCAGGAGAGGGAACTGAGAAAGCGAGAGAAGGCAGAAGAAAAGGAACGCAGAAGACGGGAATACGATGCTCAGAGAGCTGCAAAACAGGAGGTGGAAAAGAAAACTAAAAAGGAAACTGCACAGACCCGAAGTAAGTGGTGTCCACAGTGAGCTCAGGTAAAGTGTATTTTAATGTATGCCTTGTGGAAAAGAGTGAACAAGACCACTGCCACAGAACTGCATCATGCTTAACCTGCATTATAGATTTGATAGCACTAGATTTGCATTTATGCAACTTAGGTACTGAGAGAGTCCAGGAGTGGGGGAAGCAGCACAGCAGTAGAGCATTACAGACAGACAGCTATAGGCAAGTAAAACAGTGATTTAACATCTGGGTTCCTGATGAACTGCTGAACTACAAGTTTCATAAAGTGCTTTGAGTGCTCCTAAAAACTTCCCCATTCATTTAATCTTAGATGTACTGAACTATAGGTTTAAAAACAGGTCTTTTGCTACACACAGATGCTCTGCTCCTTTTTCACTTCTGCCCACAAAGGTAAATCTCATGCTTTTCTCCTAAAGTGACCATAGTTAAATAAGGAGTTTTTTGAGAAAACACAAACATAGCACAGGCTGAGAAGTACGTTACCTGAGCATCACGTAGACTGGTAAGGATATCTGAATAATTCCTCCCATTCTGTCTTGCAAACATTCTTTTTGCAGAGCCTGCCTCCAGTTCTCGTGCGCCTCAGCCAGCCCGGCACAAGCACTCGTGGTCGCGGTCAGTGCTGAGGGCGTTGCTGCTGGTGCTGCTCTGCATCCTCTGCACTTTGGCTGTCTGCAAACTGACAGAGCTACAACACCAACCGCTGTGCGTCAGCGTGAACACTCTCTATGAAGATGTAGTTGCTGCTGTGCAAAACCACAAAACCCTGCAAAACATGCTACAGCAGAACTCGCAGCAGTGATTGTCCTGGATGGGCACTTGCTTTGTCAGCATCTCCTTTCACCATCCACGCAGCCAGAATTCCTATGGAATTGTGTTCTGATGAAACTGCTTTTTATCCGTCAGCATTAATTTGCTGGTCCACTCCACATAGAATAATAGGTATTGTTTGGATCATCGTTGCTGTGCATGTTTCTCAGTTGGCCTGTCATTCCCATTATCTGACTAGATTAACTTAATACTTCTTGCCTCCAAGGGATTTACATCTAGATCTTAAGACACAGAAAGATGTTAATTTATAGGAGTGGAAAAAAAAGTGGCTTTCAGTTATCTAGGTAGTTGTAGCTCTGTAATGCAGGTATAAGGTTTTTTAATACATATCCAATTCTTGCTCTCGTTTCTATTAGTGCTAAAATTAATGACATGGCTGTATGGGAGTAATATATGTAGGCCTACTCCAGGACCAATGACATTTGTGGAATGGCTGTGCATCTGTGTATGCTGGAGTGAAGAAGCTGATGTACTATTGAAAGAAACTGAAAATTTTCAATACAACATTTTTCGCATCAACTTGTCTGAAGTGAATGTTTGTATCGTTAATACAGGACAGCATTTGTTTTAGTTACATATCCTAGAAACAGCTAAAACTGATTTCTGACCGCACACAGTAATCACTCGTTTTAGCCAGCTAGGACCAGCAAAGGAGCTACAGCTCAAGAAGGGCTTCTTGCCAGCCTGCAGTCTTGTCAAAAACTGTGAGTATGGGGGGGGGGGGGGGGGGGGGAGGGGGGGGGGGGGGGGGGGGGGGGGGGGGGGAAGGGATCTGACACGCAGACAGGAAAGCTGCTGCAGCACACAGCGCTGGGTGGCACTGTTGCAGCAGCACAAAGCCTGGCCCACTCTTCACCCTGGGACTTGCAAAGGCTGGGAGGTTTGGCAAACTGTCTAAAGAAGAAAACTCAGCTGTGTAAAGGCATAATTATTCTAAATAATCTCCACACAGAGGAAAACCAAACAAGTTTGTCATATCCTTACAGGGTTTGTGATTGTAAAACAAAGTGAAGTGTAAATGTAATGATGCAAGTGCAGGTTTCAGAATAACCATGCTACAAACTCCACAGAGACATAGCTGTGTTTGTCACCTGATTTGCTCCCTCTTTTGTCATACCTGGAATGATTGCATTATTACACTGACACAAGGAATGGCAATTCCTCTGTTCCACTGTTATTGCACTACTACAAGGAAGTCATCTATGCCATTTCATATCAATGACCAAGGTCATAATTGAAATAGTAAGCCTTTGCCTTCTCATAGCTTTATGATACACCTGTAGTTCTCTCACTGCCTTTCAGAAGAAATCAATAGCATGGATTTAAAATAAAAGGATAGAGAGGCTTCCCATCCCTCTGACACAGCAGTATATTGCACATGTTTTCTAAGCTTCCTTGAAACAGTTTAGGTTTTGTTTTTAACCCATGGTCTTTAAGAGGTTATTATCTTTAACTGCTTATTACCCAGAAATACAGCAAACAACACTCAAAGCAACATAGCTGCTTGTCAGCACCTGGCAGCAACCTGCAGCTCTACCATCTAGAAGTGAGTCCTGCTTAAGGCAGCAAATGCAAGGCTAATAAGATTTGTCAGTTTAGGTCAGCAGCACCTACTGGCCACACCGAGACACCCACTGTGTGTGAAGCCACTGCAGCTCATGGGTGTTTTTTCCACTTGAGGTGGCACTTTTCCAAAAGGTAACTTCCATGCATTGAATGCAGTTCAATTCATACTCAGCACTTGTTTCAGTAAGTGCCTCTGTAGCAAATGACCTCAACTGTCCTTGTGTGCACACCAGTGCTGATGGCTTTGTAGACAGAAAAGCATGTTCCCCCACCTAATTAAAAGAAAGGTTTTCCTGCCAACTGTTTAGGTCTCATAATTCCAGCACATATAATCAGATTTCAAGACCCTCTATAGATTAAGCTGTCTGCAGACTGAATCAGGGCAGCCTAAATTTAAATCCGAAAATTAGTCTTACTCATTCCCATCTGGCACAGCAGAAAACAATTTAAAAAAGCCTACTTTGTGAAGTAAAGTTCTTCTCCCTCACCAGAGCAGGTGCTGGGGGCAGCACCACACTGAGCAGTGCCATTTGTCACACTGAAGAAAGAGAAGGTATCTACTTGTAGTTTGGATACCAGTGGAAAACAGTCAATGAAGACATGCCAGGATTACAGAACACCTCGAGGTCAGAAGGGACCTCTGGAAGTCATACCTGTCCAAAGTCTAGGAAGCACATTAAGAAATAATTAATGTTATTATAGAAAATGATTTACGCCCTTGGAAGAACTTTTGACAAATAAGAAAAGCGCCAGTGCTGTAAGGCATGTCCAATTCATGCTGTCATGGAAGACATTCAACATCTTTCTGTGTAAATGCCAGCCATTCAGCAATTTGATCCAATTTCCTTCTACCATGACAAAGACCGTAAGTGCTTCAAGTCCTTAAGCTGCGATCGAGGAGCTCACTTGTCCTCTAGGCACTTTTTCCCAGAAGGAAGATGAATACAACCAGAGAAACCATAAGATCTTCATTCATTTGGGCTATCCAGTGACATCCAAATAGAGATCAGGATCGTGGGAAGTCATCTGCAGATAGATTCTCCTGGAAAGCTCAGGCCCGACCCGGCGGCAGGTTGCCGTCACCCCGGTACCGCGGCGCACAGGGATGGCAGCCAGCATGTTTTCCCGCTCCTGCTCTGAGGAGCATCTACTGTAGGCCTACAAGCAGCACAAAGGAATGATGGCATCATCTCTTTGCATCCATTGCTCAAAGAAAAAAATCAATAAATAAACCCTACACACCTGTGACAGCTCCACACTTTCACAATGAAAACACATTTTTCCCCTGGTCTCACTCCAGATCTCACTTACAGGTTTGGAGGCAGACAGACCCCAAACTCTGCTCAGACAGAACAGGTGAACAGAACACTGCGAGGTGTGACACTGCAGTACGTAAGACTGGACAAGTAAAGCAGGGCTGTGTTACTGTTTTGTCACTGGCAGTTTCTTTGGCTTTTCTCTCTGAAGGGAAACTCTCACACAGGCTCGTCAGTAGTCTGCTCTGTAAAGCTAAAGCAATGTGTGCCAAGGAATTGAGCTTGTTCACCACCTTCCTGAACACTTTGTACAGAATCCTTGTGTCAAAGCTAATACAAAGTCAAATTACTTCTACCATCCTCACAGTAGCTGGCTGTTTGCACACAGCCCTCCATATGCAGGAGGCATCCTTACCTGGACTAGCAGCTGAGGAGAAGGGTACGCAGACACAACAGCCTCAGCCATCTCCCCACTGACCCGGTTAAACTGTTGTATCTGTCTCTTCCAAACTTCAAAGAGACCCTTTCCAGAATGATCCACTTTCACACCTCTGCACCACTTGTTCTCTAAGTAGAAAGAGAATCCTGTATTCTGCTGCTCTCGCCTGTGGAGAAAGGATGGAAAAACAAGTGACTCCCCCAAAAATTCAAATTCCTGTACCTGTTACCACACAGCCAGAGAACCACCTCTCATGCTGTGCTGCTAAAGACACCAGTGGCATCAGCATGCTAAAAAGGTGACCCTGCTTTCTCTACATCAATTTCCTACACGTAGGCCAATATTTTCCATTGAAAAAGGAACCACACTGTAGCTGGGAGCAATCCTGACAGAAGACAACATACACAAAGAACAGTAAGTAAGAATTGACTTTCTGACTGTCAAGGACAATAACACACTTTCACTTGTCATTTTTCAGTTCACCCCTTCTCATGGCTGAGACATGAAATACTGCAGCTGCCGTGATAAGAATGCTAGGACTGTGTACCCAAGTTTGCTTTCTTTGTTCTCACCACCAAACATGTTGCTGTCCTTTTCATCGGTGCAAACAGCTGAATAGTTCATCATCAGTCTCAGAGGAACAAGAGCTAGTACTGTAGAGTCCAACTCTACTTGCATTTCCTTCCCACTCTTAAAAATCAGTCTGAGAACAAGACCTTGACTTAACATCAAGCGAGACTACAACTTGAAATCAAAGTCTGCCTCCACCCCTGCTATTCCCTCCTAGTAAGCCTGAAAGCAAAGCCTCTCCAAAGAAAACATAACCAAACATCATCTGCTTACTCACTTGAATGGTGCTTCAGCTACAGCTTTTGTAAACATAGTGGCAAATTCTCCAAGTTCCTCCCAGCTCTCAAAAAAAGTGACTTGGACACGTGTGCAGAGTTGCAAATCCACCAAGGCCTGTAAACATAATTGAAACAGCAAATGGAACAACTTGTGTTCTTACAACAAACTCCATTCATGACTGAAACAAACAAAAAAAAAAAAACAGTCCTAACATCTTCGTTTAAGTCACAAACACCCATTTCCTCCCCATTTTGGAGGCAGCTTAATGCAAAGCGTTCAGAGACACTTTGTTTCCTGCTGTTTAATAGCAGTTTAGTGCCATATCAGCTGGAAGATTCTTGTAATATGCAGGCAGCACGCAACAGGCTTTATCAGCAGGCCATGAAGTATGGGAAATGCTAACAGATTCATTTTTCACTTCCAGAATCAAGGTGAACAAGACACGTTAGCCCATGAGAGAGAGCAGGTTTGTAACTGAACAGAGGGGAACTAAGAGAGCTCTACTTATTGCACGTAAACCAACAAAAGCTAAAGATCCCAGTCCTAGAAAGCATGTGATGGGGTCAAGCATCCAAGCGGAAGCAGACAACAACTGCATGCCTGTTGTACTCACAGCTTCCACATCCAGTCTGGTTATCTCCAGGCCAGGATCCTTAACTTGTTTCTTCCTCTGGTCTCCTCTATCTTCTGCCTGGCTCCTATTCACTGTAGCCTGTTGCAGTCTCTTTTTTGACTGAGCTCTGAGACATCTAAGAAGACGAAGCTTGAATTGGGAATTTTGAAGGGCTAGGCTGCTCTGGAGTGTAAAACAACTCAGTAACAACACCCTGTACTAAGAGACACCAAATCTGTAGAACAGGCCCATTAAATACAAAAGCATTACATCTGACTAAGAAAATTCCTCTGCGGCATTTATTTATTTATTTTTAGAGCAAAAAAAGCCTTTCAAGAAAGTATCTGTGAACATTTTTGCCACCCTCATACTCTTCCCCAGGTATTTGTCACTGGTCACTGTGGTGACGAGCTAGATAGACCTTTGTTTCTGCTCCTAGGTAGCAGATGTGGAGCAGTTCTAGATGGGAGTTCTTTATATGCTCCAGTCTTTGCTAGAAGGAATTGATGTAAACACTTACTGCCTCATTCAGTGGGACAACACTGACACATTTGAGGAGAAAAATTCTAACCTGAAATATTTTTCTACTTCAACAACTGTTAGAGCCAGGATTTTCCCAGGCATCTTTTCCATCACACGAGCTACAAAGGTCTGTAAGGTCTCCTTCTGTTCCGCGCAGCCTTGGGCCTCCTGCAAAGAGCAATAGGAAAAAGGAACAGAACCATCCCAAGTAGCACAGATGAGACCAGCAACCTATGGCCCGATGTTACAGCTAAGTCTTTGCATAGGTGAAGTTCTGCTCCTGTAGCTCTCAGGTGCAAACAGAGAGCACTTGATCTAGTAACAAATTACAGTAAAGAAAACAAAAATAACAAAACACACACAAAAAAAGCCCCACAACATACTTGACCTGACAGCATCTACTAAGACAACATTACCTCTTAAAAACCTCTAACAAACAGTAGCTAGGAAAGAAAGCTTGTCAGAACTCAGCATTAGACAATCTCAGTGTTTTTAATCAGGTATAGATCAGATTTATTATTTAATAAAACCATAGATAGCTTCCAAGTGAGAAGGGATGGCAAATACCACCCTCTCCAGAAAGGCACATTCAGAGAACACAAAAGTTATAAGCAGTCTTACTTGCTTGTAGTTACGAACCATGGACAAGAACTCTTCCAAGCCAAGCAGAACCAGGAGATTTGGCTCTTCTGTCCATTCATTACTGTCCTCAGCCTGCCCAGATACAAAAACAAACAGCCAGACCACAGCCTGTTTACAATTCAAAAATCAAACCAGTGCTCCCAATCTGAGGTAGGGAAAAAGTTAGAGAAATGTTTGCTTGGGATGCTAAAAACAATTACTATTAAGTGCAAACACCACGGGAAGAAAAGGGCAAGACAATCAAGATTTTGTCCCCACACCTGAGATAACACTGACTTCCTCCTCCAGGTAATGCTGCAGGGAACAGCCTGGCTCTCAACCACACAGGAATAATTTGCAGACTGCAAAGCAGCGTGGATCTGCACCCCACCTTCAACCTGTAACAGAACTGAGATTGGCACACAGGTCAGGATCCCACGGCAAGAACTGCTGTAAGGCCAGCACAGGCTGCAAGCAGTACCTGGATCCAGCACCACGGCGATGTACTTCTGGCACTCCCCCGGCCGCTGAGCTTTCAGCACTTTGGCGAGGTTCTTCTTTCTTTCTTTTTCCTCCTCCTGCCGCCTTCTCCTCGCTTCCCGGTCCTTCCTCCTCCGCCAGGCCGCCTGGCAAACCGCCTCCCTTTCCTGCTGGCTGTACTTCGGCTTCTTCGGAGGAGGAGAAGCTTCTGCATTTTCTCCACTATCCCGAGGCCCCGCAGGCCGGGCCGCACGCTCACTCACAGGGGCAGCCGGGGGGATCGCGGGCCCCCCAGAGCCGAAGGCGACACCCGGGCTGACGGAAGGTCCTCCCTCGGGTAACAGCGCGGCTTTCGGAACAGCCCGTTCCCTGCGGCCAACCGCCAGCCGCTCGCCGCCGTGACAACGGCCGTCCCGCCCAGCCGCATCGCCGCCACCCGCCGGCAGAAGCCCCGGCCCCGCAGCGCTCCGCGTCGGGCCGCCGGGCGGCAGCCTCCTGCTGACCCTCTCACACAGGGGAACGACCTCTACCTCGTCCTCGCTGTCGCTGCTCAGCATCACAACGCCGCTCCCTCGCCTCGGAGGGGGAGACGACACCCTCGGAGGGGCCGCCCGGCCGGCCGCCGGCAGCGGCCGCAGCAGAGCAGCGAGGGCCGGCAGCCCCTCATCGCCTCCCTCAGCTCCCGCCATTTCCAGCTCCTCCAGAAGCGGCTGTTGGGGGAAACAGCGGGCGGGCGTTTGGCGCGCTGGGCGATGACTGGCCGGATCCCGAGCGCATGCGCCTGCAGCGGGAGGCGATTGGCCCGCGCGCGTGAGCGCGTGCGCGTTCGGACCAATCGCCTCCCAGCGCTCCGGAAGGGGAAGTGAGGCGGCGCCGGAAGATGGCGGCCTGGGGGCGGCTGTGTGAGTGAACGGCGGTGCGGGAGGCGCAGCGGGCGGTGCGGGTCTGCGGGTGCGCTGAGGTGGAGCGGGTTTGAGGCCCGGCTCGCTCTGAAGCACAGGACGGCCTGTGGGAAACCGTGCCGGCCGGTTCCCGGTTCGCGCTCTCTGAGGCCGTTCTGTGGTTAAAGGACATCGCTGGAAAAAACGCCGGGCTGCGTTGGGCAGCGGCGCGGGGCGCTGCGGTCAGACGGCGCCTGTTTGTCTGCGGGAGGAGTTTGCAGGGCAGGGGTAGCGTGATGATGGCAGAGACCATCCGGGACCGTAACTCTTGTGAGGCCCCATCTGCAGCACTGCGTCCAAGTGTGGCGCCCCCAGTACAAAAAAGACAGGGAGCTGTTGGAGAGGGTCCAGAGGAGCCACGAAGATGATCAGGGGGCTGCAGCACCTCCCCTGTGAAGACAGGCTGAGGGAGCTGGGCTTGTTCAGCCTGGAGAAAAGAAGGCTGCGGGGTGACTCATTGCAGCCTTCAGTACCTAAAGGGAGCCTACAAACAGGAGGGGAATCAATGCTTTGAAAGGGTAGATAACAGCAGGACAAGGGGAAATGGTTTTACGTTGAGGGAGGGGAGATTTAGGTTGGACGTCAGGGGGAAGTTCATTACAGAGAGTGGTGAGGTGCTGGAACAGCTGCCAGAGAGGCTGTGGATGCCCCGTCCCTGGAGGTGTTCAAGGCCAGATGCCAGATTGGATGGGGCCCTGGGCAGCCTGGTCTAGCATTAAATGGGGAGGTTGGTGGCCCTGCATGTGGCAGGAGGGTTGGAGATTCATGATCCTTGAGGGTCCCTTCCAACCCTGGCCATTCTGTGATTCTGTGATTCTGTAACAAAGGATTCCTTTTCCCTGGACTTGTGCTGGTTGTAGCCCCAGGGTTTGTGCTCAGGGAGTAATTCTGTGTGTGTATCGTCCTGAATTGGAGTCTCCACATTTTGCTTTATCAGTACTGGTTGCTTCTTCTTGTTTTGTTCTTCACAGCCCTTGAGATGCAGCCTATTTGCAGAGGATTGAACCAACAGTTTGCCCTGGGATTTCTTTTCCTCAGGGCTTTTCTTTACCTTTAGCTTCAAAGCCTTTAACTGATACCTTCTAAATTGGGAAAGAAAAAAAAGACAAAATATGCAACTTGACTTATATATTTTTCAGCTGGTTTTGTTACTGTTGTTCTTGTTCCAAATCCAGTTCTGTCCGTTCCACAAACGAGCCTGGCTGCTGTCAGATGCGCTTCTAAGAAATCCGGGGGCAGCTCAAAAAATTTGGGTGGTCGCAGCCCCGGGAAGCGCTACGGAGTGAAAAAGGTAGAAGGTAGGTCAGATGTCTGCTGAGCATTATTGCACCCATGGGGTTTTCCACAGTTATCCCCTGCTAGCTGGGTTAATTGTGGAGCATTTCCGTAGGAGGTGGCTGGGGCATTCTTCCAAGAGAAAGGAAACAGGAGGTTCAGGAGAAACTCCCCGTCCCCATGGCAGGGTGGCAGCAGGAGGGCACAGTGAGTCAGCCCTCCCTGCCAGCAGGACTGCAACAGCCAGACAAAACTGCTATGGAAAATGTACTCTGATACTTTGCCTCCCTGCAGAGTCTAGGAGGAGGTACCCTGTGGGACAGCTAATAACTTAAGTGTCCCTTCCCTCCGTGCTGTGTTAAGAAGTTAGGTATTTTAGATGTTTACAAAGGGGAGAATTATGATGTGCAGAGGAAGCCAAAGTACAGATTCTTGCAGCTCAGTGCTTAATAATTAGAGAGTTTGTTCATGAAAACATTAGAGGTAATATAACAAATGCCTTCAGCAAATAGAAAATTTATACTTTATACTCTAGAAGCAGTCTCCTCAAAGACCAAAATTGCTTTTTTCCCCACTATTTATCACTTGCTCTCTATTTCCTAACAGCATTTTCATTTAGATGCTTTTTGCGTTTCAGTTTTTCCATAGAAAATTCCCACAGAAAGCTCTTTAAGTCCTGGAACTGTTTGTTCTTCTGCCAGCCTCAGGGCTCCAAGGAGTTCCATTTCTCTCTAGTCTGACTCTGCCATTCTGTTGCAGGTATGTTTGTGCATGCAGGCAACATTCTGGCTACTCAGCGATTGATACGCTGGCATCCAGGGGCTCACGTAAGTCACACACATTTTATTTTAAAATGTGAAGCAGCAGATGCTATTGAAGCCAGGATATCAAACAACACAGACAGATGACCTGGCCTGCTGTAGTGAAAGACCTCCAGCCTTTACTTTCTAACACCATCCTGGCTCTTTTCCAGGTGGGGATGGGCCGGAACAAGACACTCTACGCCCTGGAAGATGGGATTGTGAGATACACTAAAGAGGTTTACGTACCCCCACCCCGCAGCAGCGAGAGCAGGGAGGTGATCTGCTCTCTACCCAAAGGTGCAATTCTTTATAAAACCTTCATCAATGTTATCCCTACCACAAAAGTAGGAAGCTTTAAGTTGGTCACCATGCTCTGAGTCTCCCATGTGACACAGGAATGGATGGGAGGAAGCAGCTGGGGCAGACTGCTATAGCTGGACTGCCGTTTGAAGAGGACAAGAAAATTCTTGCTCTGAAATTAACTGTGCTTTGCTCTCTTGCTCCCAAAGCACACGCAGTTGGTGTTTAGGCATTGGAATCATCTGCTGGCCACTGTAAGAGTATTCAATAAATGCACTGGAGTTCTTGAGGGTCTTGACTGTTCATAGAATGTTACCTATGTTCCTTCAGTAGCTCTCCTTCCCTTGAAGAACCTGTTCCATTGTTCCACTGAATTAGTTTATCTGGAATCACCTTTATGACAATACTTGTCCTACTAATAATTCCATCTATTTTTACTCATTTTTAGTCACTGCTGCTATATTTGTTTCTTAGCTCCAAGACATTACAGAAAAGGAGAGATTCCTTTCCGGCTGTATCTAACTCTGCATCCCAGAAAGCTAGATTTTTGCTAGTATCTAACTCACCTCACTGATTAACTCAAATGCCTGGAAGCATTCCATTTATAACCATGTGAGGCAATTCTGTGCTCTTAAAGCTAATTTATGACTGATTTTAGAGTGTCTGTTAAGAGGCACAAGTCTGGGATGGTATTTGAAACTCAGCAGCTGGAGGTGTCTCATAAAGCCATAATCCAGAAGACTTTTCTTTTTGTCTTTCCTGAGTCATTCCATGATTGCTTATGTTACTTCAAAGAAAGAAGCCTGGATGGTTTATGGCCAAGCTGATCTCATTTTATCTACAGGTTTGTAAACAATTTGAAGCTTAGGCTTTACAGTAGAAAACAGGTTATCAAAATTGGTATTGTAGTGACATTAATAGATTGTCTTCTCGCAAAAGAAGACAAGGTAAAATGCATCAGAAATGTGTTTCCACCTTTGCTTTACATTCCCCATGGAGCCTGCTGGCCATTTTGCCCACGCTGCTGTCCTTTCCCAGTTGCACACCCAGTTGTGCAGTTTATCTCAGCGGTCTGTATTTGCACACAGCACTGCCAGTGACACAATCCCTTCAACCTTGAGTTTCTGCACATCTCTGTCTGAAGTTCATATAAAGCTGCCGCAGACTGCAGAGGAACATTGCCATGAGAGCACACAGCAATGCTCAGATGCAGATTCATTCCGTCACTAACAGATCAGGATCCCATTTGGTGTCTGATACACTGATAAACAGTTTTATATCCTAAGAAATAGATAAAGTAGCACAACACGACCATCAGAGGTCAGATACCTGGCGTGCTTGGCAGTACCTGCCACACCCTCACAGAGGTAATGATCCACCAGCTGCCTCCAGGAACTGAGCAGACCTTCACCTTTGCTTTGCCCCTCACGCGGAGCAAAGCAGCTGGTCTGCTGCTGATCCACTGCCTTGTGTTTGGCAAAGGGAAGAACAAGCAGACATCAGACATCCCTGGTCACTCCAGTCAAAGCACGATGCTCAGGGGAGCTCCGTAGTTTTCTCCATGCTGCAGGATGGACGTCCAGGACAGTTGGGTCCGACTTGCCTGCAATCAGCTGATTGGAAATAGGAGTGAAGGTCTGAGGTTCGGCTGTTCCCTGCAGATGGAAACGATGTCCCCAGGCACTTCTGTCACTGACGGGAGGAAGAAGTAGCACAGGCAGGCTGAGGTCTTACACAGCTGTGTTCCGCTGACTTTGGTAGCTGACCAGTGCCTGGGGAGGGTCTGGCACACCATGTCTGTCTGTGGCCTCTGAGGTGATTCCCATTCCTGAAAAAGCTGGAGGGTGCCGCAGAGCGTGCTCATAGGGAGGGGGCAGCTATTGAGAGAGAATCAGAAACAAGCAGATCACCCCACGTCGTCTTACACAGCACACACAAAGCACAAAAACACCCCAAAATGAAATTCCAGGTCTCAGAGCAGCAGGCTCTGGCTGGCTGAGAGCTGGAAGGTAAGAGCTGAGCTTGGCACTTGTTTGCCTCGCAGTGGGGCAGAAACCCACAGGAGATGTTACAGCATATCCCACCCGCTCCCTCCGGGATGCCACGCTAGGTTCCTGCTCTGCCCTGTGCCAGGGACTGGGCACTGCTTGTTGCAAAGCCAGAAAACAATTGGCTTCTGCTGAAACAGGACTGTTGTTCGCTTCCCTTTAGCTACGTGTAGGCTGTATGGGGGTCTATAAAAGCAGGCTATAGGTTGTAACTTCATAGAGTTTTCAAGGCTCGGTGCTCCCGAATTTAAGCCCTTGGGGCTTTAGCATGCACAATTCTGAGCAGGTCACTCAGGCACAGGCCAAGAAATGTTAAGAGTTCAATTACTTGTCCTTGGTGCATCTGGGCCTTGCTTTCCTCTGCCCTCAGCGCTCTCACATCAGGGCAAGTAATCATTAGTTACAAACCC